AATTCGTGCCCATGGTATCTTGTTTTTTTCCTCACATGTCAGTAGTTTCCCTGCTTAGTAGTTTTGGGTCAATACAATCTAAAAATAATCTGTAATGATGCTTGTTACTAATACTGGTCTTCCTAAACAAAATTAGCCTATATTGATCTACAAACATGTTGTTGCTCATAAAAATCTCATTAAGTATATTGTGTTTAAATATTAATTGAATATCTCAGTAGCTGTTTAGGGAATAAAAATCTAGTAATGTGGTTGTTTTCCCAGCAGACCTCTGACTATGACTGACAGAGCCGAATGACTGGCTGGTGCTAAGAACATTTTAGCACCCTAATGACCTCAGCACTATTATTATTTGCAGCTAATGTTATTGTCATTAATGTCACTAATGCAGTAAATAGAAACAGCAGGACAGGGAACAAATTCCAACACAAACACTTGTCTGAAAGCAGTGTATCAGATTCAGCCATACACGTGATTCCTGAACTGTCCTGAGAATAAACTATTCCTACTGGTATTTAGTCAGATATCATGTCAGAATCTCTCAAACTGTAATTGGATGCCACATCACAAAGGCTTAAAATAGTGTGAAACCAGAGCAGGAAAAAACACTCCAAATCTATGAATTTACAGGAGCTAAATGCTTCTTTATTTGGACCAGTGGACAGCAGAAATACATATACACCTAGCTTTTAAGATCCTGTGATTTGTATATGCTTTTTCATATAAGAGATTCAGGAGATGGAAAATGTTGAATATTCAAATAAAATATGCTGTAAATCAAAATCTCTCTCTCCAGAATTACAGATGTTTTTTTTCCACAGGTCCTCCCCCCCCCCCAAAAGCATTTTAACAGCATGACGTTAACAGCAAGTGGAATGTAATTTACAACACGGCTCGTCTCATTTGTCTCTCTGCGAGTCCATTTCTATATTTGTATCTCTGGAAAGAACAACTCAGCCAAAGCTGAAGGCTGCTTTTCCATTAATGGGGAGAAAAGCATATAAAAAATTTCAAAAAACTTTGCCTAAATTTGAGATCTACTTTTTATTAGTGCTACATTATTTCTATAAAACACTATAACCTGTAAATAATAAAAAAAAAAAAACACTTCTAAAAAAATAAATAGATACTATTTCCCAACAACTCTATTTGAAAAATCAGCAAAATACTAAAGTACAAAATATGAATCTCTGCTTTCCCCAGATCCATTGAAAGAAGCCATCTTAATTAACGCTGATGCCTTTCAGGTCCTATTCTAAGTTTAAATGAAAGTAGTAGTGAAATCAGATCGTATATATATTCCAAAATATTCTGTTGAGATTCCCATCTTCTCAAAATGCAAGATGGCGAATTTCCATTTCATGGATATGTTAAAGGGGAATCCAAAAGCATTCTTTAATAAATAACACCTAATTAATGAGAAGTCAGGTTAATGCAATATTTGGTAAACCCCTATAAGATATCTACAACAGAAATGGACATGAAAGTATACAAGGTCTACTTTAACTCTATTTCTCTTGGAAATACTGAATTAAAGTATCAACCTTCTGCTGTCACTCTTCCATTGAACACTCAAGACAGACACATTTACAATTCATACAGACAGTATTTCAATGAATAACATGACAAAAACAAAACTGCTGGAAGCTTCAAGAGGAACTGTGGTTAAATCTTGTCGTATTTCTTCAAAATACCACAAAACGATATGCAAAATTTTGTTCATTAAGTAATTGCGATTAAATTGTCTACATTTGCTTTGAAATAACACTACATTTTTCAGCTCGTAATGAAGCTTGCAGTCGATTTAGTTGCTCTGAACAGAACATAATCCCACTGTTAGTATAAAAGTTGAGAGTATTATATCTAACAATGGTTATTTCCATTCAGGCTTGCTTGGTGTGATCAGGAAAACATTACATTAGCATATTCAGAATAAGATCTTATTATCAGATTATGACAAACTGCTGCAGGGGTCATTACATAACTGTCACGTGAATGATGGTGTGCCATGTAATTGATATCTTGTTAATGTAAGAAATTAATTACATCTATCGAAGAGACTGCATTGATACATTGATTACTGGGAATAAAACATGCATTGAATGGAATTTATTGCACTAGAGCCTCCAAGGAAGAGGTCATTTGAAATGGGATCCAATGCTAATCATATACGACATGGAAGCTCCTACTGAACTGCTGACGGTGGAGGTATCATAGATCGCTATTCATAGGGTTTGCCACTATACCTATAGGACTGAGAACGATGGGGCGTAAAGTTAAAAAGCCTATATAATCTACTCAAGGGGCTAAGCAAAATTATTCAGAGCAGCATTATTGTTATTCTTTCATTGAATAAGGGGACGACCTCTAAACAGATGATAAAATATGGACTGCAAGGCATCAAACCTGTGTCTTACCTCCTCCGCAATCTCTTCTTCGTACTCTTCTTCTGATGCCATCTTCAAACAGATTTAGTGAGTCTGCACAAGCAAATAAAAAATTTGTTGCAGACAGTGAGAAATAAACAGCTGTTTTAGAATACTTTTTAATGCAAATAAAGCATAGGAAGTTAAATTGGCCCTTACTATAGGATTTCAATTTCACCAGGACTTGAAGGACACTCATAACGTTCACAATGCACCAGGAATGATCTGTTCATTTTAATGATAATCTTAACGAACCAAACTAAAGCATTATTGTTATTCTTTCACTGAATAAGGGGACGACCTCTAAACAGATGATAAAATATGGACTGCAAGGCATCAAACCTGTGTCTTACCTCCTCCGCAATCTCTTCTTCATACTCTTCTTCTGATGCCATCTTCAAACAGATTTAGTGAGTCTACACAAGCAAATAAAAATTTTGTTGCAGACAGTGAGAAATAAACAGCTGTTTTAGAATACTTTTTAATGCAAATAAAGCATAGGAAGTTAAATTGGCCCTTACTATACGATTTCAATTTCACCAGGACTTGAAGGACACTCATAACGTTCACAATGCACCAGGAATGATCTGTTCATTTTAATGATAATCTTAACGAACCAAACTAAAAAGTGTAAAAGCTGACGTACCTTTACTATAGAAGGTTACAGTAATTTCAGCAACCCTACAGTAAAGAAAGGTGTTCGCTTTCCATCCACTCGTGTCCCAATCTGCTATTCCACTTTATGTATTCCTGCAAACCTAAACAAAGACAAAAATGTGTCAGTTTTCCTCTGACTGAGCTGATGCTTTAGTGTGGGTAGATCAACAAAAGCAAAAATTCAAATTTTGTGCTGAAATCTTTCTGCAGGCCTTGGTAAGTGAGAGAGTTTGACACCTAAGACCCCCCAAAACGCTGCGCCTCCTGGCTGAAGCCTTGCGACAGCTGCTCTGAATCGCTCCAGCTATTTGTCATGTAAGCCAATGCTGTGGGCTGATTGGCTGGCTTTGTTTAGCTAGTGGAGCTCCAATGCCTTCTGAGGCTGGAGGTTAAATTTAGGACTGCCCACTAACTACCCTTTTTTAGGACCCGACTCCTAGAAAATGACATCAAATGATGGTTTTCTATGCATTTTCATCAGAAAGATTGAGAGGAATGTGGATGGGATTTTAACAAACTCCTGTCCATGAGGTGAGGTGCTTCAGATAGTCTTCCAGGAAAAACCAAGTCCAGGAATAAGTTCCAGCTTTGAGTAATTGGTAAATTGCTTGTTCCTGCAATGATGGCCAATAAAGTCAGAAGATTCTTATCAGGCTGTGGTTTAAGGACCAGCATCGCCCTGAGCATCACTTCCACCTACCAACAGGCTGTAGAAGATGGTCAGTCCAACTGAGCAGGCCATGCAAAGAGTGCTGGAGAGTGAAATCTGGTGTGAGGTTTGATTTCGTGGTTTTTCCTTTGCTTACCGGTGACTTTAAAGTTAAAACGTTTCCCAAGCTGCCAGAGCCTCCCCAACTCTTCCCTCCTGAGAAATGCTGGGCAACAGCTCACAGCTGCAACGGCACTCCGGTTATCATGTGCTCCTATCCACCAATCAGTGGGCAGTATTCTCAGGTTTCAAAATCTAAATATACATTAGCAACCCTTCAGAAAAGTGCACCTGTTCAGCAAATCATCAGTAATACAACTATGAGGAAGAGAAAGGAAAACACTGTAAAATACCTGGTTTCTTTGAACGAGGGAATGCAGGGTTGTTGCATTCACCAAGATGGAGTTCTGTGGAGGTATGTATCAGGAGTAATAGAGATCCTGGGGCAAAATTAGGTTTTCTCTGTGAAGATGGCCAAAGCAACTTCTTGAGGTCACTGGTTTGCATCCAAGTGTACATGGAGCCCAGAGGCCCCAGATAGAATGCGGATGTGGGCCACTTAAGGCAATGATACGGCGCTGGTGGCCTTCTTATAGCACGTACAAAATGGATGTAAGCCTGAAGTGGCCCACTTGTAAAATAGCAAAAATGGCCCAAATTTATCAAATCACATGTGGGCCTCTGTAGGCAAAGATGTGGTGTTCACTGCAATGTGTAATCTGAATGTGACCCTATGGTGGCCCATGTGATAAATAGTGAATATGGCCCAAATAGTGCCAACCAAATGTGGTCCACCTTTGGCAAAAATGTGGCACAATCGACAAAGGCTAATCAGGGTGTAAACCAAATGTAGTCCACATATGTTTCAGCAAATGTGGACCAGGTATATTAAAACATATCTGGGCCAGTTTTGGCAAAGTGAACACTGGCTAATGTGGCTGTAAGCCTAAAGTGGCCCACATATGATGCCACAACCCAGATAGCAAGAATGTTTGGGCCAAATGTGGCTGATAGCTGTCACATTTGGCCTAGGTATGGCATGGCTGAGCACATATGGGCCAAACTTTAACCGTATATGTTTTGCCATGGATTTAGAATTGGAGGGAATTTTCTTTTGGATGACAATTTTTTTGAGGTATATGGCCCAGATGATAGCACACAACTGAGAGCCCCTTATATGATGCCACAAATGTGGCCCGCATATAAAATGACAAATATTGCCCAAATACCGGTAATTAATAACAATTTGCCCCATATATTATAAAACAGATGAGGACCACTTCTGGTTGTAACACTTGACAAGTGTGGATTAAAGACTTATGATATATAACCTTTCATCTTCGTCTTGCGCTCTTTAACACAGCTTAGCTATGACACTCACAGACTTACTCTGTAGGGAGTCTGAGTGAGAAGCATTTAAGTTCAAACTTGTGAAGAACAGTTTTTAAAGTATTGGCCTGTGTATGTGCGGACGGCCTTACTGTCACGGTTTCTGTTAATTTGGACTTAGTTTTCCTTTTGCACCGTTTCCCTTGTTGTGTTGATTGTATTGTTCTGTTCAGGTGTGCCTAGTTAATTATCCTTGTTTGGTCTGAGTACTTAAGTTCCTGTATGTTCACTTTGAGTTTGTATGGTCTAACGTCTACATGTCTTAAATGTTGTTGTGCTACATTGTGTTTGGATTTATCCTTGTTGGATTTACCCTGGTTGGATTAAAGACTTATGATATATAACCTT